AAACCCTGCCAGTTTCCTTGTGAAAAACCAAGGTCAAAAAAAAAAAAAAAAGGGGTGAGGGTTGGGGGGAAGGGGAAAGTAACACATGAAGGACACCACACACATTAACGTGAAATGGTAAGGTTACATACTTAGAAAAAATAAAAATAAGTTATTAAAAATAAATTTGCAATAGAAACCCCAAAATGTAGTTTTAACCAGCCAGTTTAGCAAAACGATGGTGCTGTAGCTGGAGAAGAACCATTATCAGCTGTACTCTGACACAGGCAAATAACTGTGGAGAAGCCGGACACGTACGTTATACCAGTGTTTTAATTTCATGTGTGTGTGTCTGTCATTAAGTGCAAAGTATTCTTGTAGTTCATTCCTTCAAAGACTAAACGTGTCCATATCCGTCTTCCGATTGAGGTGGATCAGCTGGTTCCTCCGATATGATGTCTAATGTTGGAGCCTCTGTCAGACTGACATCTTCGTTATCCATTTCTTCTGCTATACTGGCTTCCTCTGAATCTCTAGTCCCTCTTCTAGACTGACGCTCTAGTAACATGCTCTCCAAGGACTCTATATCCTCAATGCCTGCTTTGTAGTGGATCATCAGCAGTGTCAGGGCCTGCAGTCTTTCACCTGACTTCACCAGTGCAGCGGAAATCAAGGCTTTTCTCCTTGCATCAGTTGTCTCTTTCTCTTCTTTCACAAGTATATTATTATTTTCCAGCTCCTGGTCTATCTCATTCTGCAGCTTATCCAACATAAATTCCAATTTCTGAAAACGTTCCTCTGTGGGTAAACTTCTGTAGAGGTCACGCCCAATTTCTTTCACAGCAATGAAGACACTGTCATCTAGACCAGACTCCTTTCGGACCAACTTTATCCCAGTACCTGATGCACGTTTGGAAGGACTGCTGGGCCCACTGATTTCAGTATCACTACTTTCGTTATCAGAAGTGTTTGGTGTGTGCTTTGGTGAAGGTTCTACCGCCTCTGTTCCTGGCTCAGAGATGCGAGCTTTGGGGACTGGACGAAGGTTTAAGAAACGTGTGCCTGTATTGATGAAATGCCTGGTCAAGCCAGTTCTGTGAACAGATTTAGACTCTGAATCAACACGAGGGGCTGCAGCTTGGGGAGCTTCCTGCCCTCGCTTTTCAGCTCCTACACAAAAGGGCATCTCAGCTAGACATTTTTCTTGACATTTTTTATGGCAAACATAAGCACACAGCAAGCACTGGGAAGCTGCTTTAGTCCATACTTTCTTTTTGCAGTAATCACACCAAGTTGGATTCTGAAACTGTGTATCTTGAAAGTTATGCCTGTTCTCCATTAAAACTGCCTGTCCCAAGGAAGGCTCCTCTTTTGGAAGTGACTGAGCGTCTTCTTCCAACTGACTTTCCCGGTCTATTTCCACGAGAGAGACCGAATCTTCTGTGTCACATTCTTTCAAATACTTGAAGTGTAAAGTTATATCACCATAACAAAATTTTTCATTGAATCCCTTATGGGCTGTCAAATTCCGCAATGCTGCTCTAGAGACTGCTGCTTTAGGAGCAGGAGCACTCAGTCTGTGTGTTACACAGTATTCCATTGAGGATGTAGCTAGACAATCTAAAGCAATTTCTTCAAGTTTTATGTTTACATATCCTAAGCAGATAAACCCACCTGCTTTGAAAGGGTCTCTGCACCACAGTGCAATATTAAGGTACTTATGCTGTCCTTCTATTTCAAATAGACAGGAAGATGCCCTCCCCCTTGGCCATCGGCCCTGCCGGACTTTATAAGGAATTTCTGGTGATTCCCATGTTCGATGATCATCTCCACTGTCTTTGGAACTACGTGTATGTTCTGAAACTCCATCTTTTAATGTATCCTGTTTTGGTGCTGTTAATACTTTTGACACTGTTGGGTCTTCTATTTGATCACTATTCTTTACTACTTTCTCTGTACATTTATCCCCATTATTTGTAGATGGAGGCCTTTCTGATTTTTCAGAAGATATACTTGCAGTTTCCCACAGATTCAAAGTTTCAATACTACAAAAACTAGTCCTACTTGATGACCTAGATGGCACAGGAGACTTAGTACCGGTTCCTGATGATTGTTTACCTGATTGCTGTGGTACATCTAAACTCTCAATAGTTCTGGGTGTTGCCACTTTAGCTCCATCTTTTTGTTGCGCTTTTGACGTTGCCTGCTGACTTCCCGCATTCCGTTTTCGATTCAGAATCGGAGATATAGGTACAAGTGGTTTACTAGAAAGTATTGTTACTGACCGTCTGGGGCTGGGAGCTGCTGGCAGATCTTCCTTTTGGTCAGCTGATTCACAAGCTAACTCCTCGAATTCGGAATCAAAATCTCTGTTGTCAACCTCAGCTGGTAAACCAGCTTGATCATCTTCTGGCTGTGGCACAAAAGCAGTGTCTTCCAACTGTCCCAATCCATCCTGCTGGGCTGAACTCTGCTGATTTTGTCCAACGGGCCTTTCATAAAAGACTAAAACTCTGTCCCCAGCCTGTCTGATAAGCTTCAACACTTGGACAGTCGAGGTGATTTTAACATCTATAAAAACCAAAAAAGACAGAAATTGTTAAATGTTAATGACTATAACAATCTAGCTGGCTAAAAATAGTCTACAAGCATGTTCAGATCTTTAATAGTGGTAATAATACCATTGCTCATTAACAGGAAGTCAATTAAGACAGAAGAGCTTAACTGAAATGTAACAGATGGATTCTTTCCATTTTTATTCATCCAAATATATCACTGATTTCAGGAGCTGGAAAAGACTTCAGTTTGCTGCTTGCTATTATTGCTGTAATCTTACAGAGTAATGTTGATTTTAAATGCTAAGATTTTTAACCTTGGTCTTTAAAGTTCAGACTTTTCAGAAGCAGGCATCTAACAATGGATTCAAAAGAGAGGGGTATCATAAAATAGTTATAATTAATCCATAAGCAGTCTAACAAAGAAAATGGATCCAGTTTGTTAACAAAATACAGGGATGATGCTGCATTCTCAGTGTGGCTGAACAGTGAACTGGATCATCCTCATCATCACAACTCTCAGAGATATTTGAAAGTATCTCCAGCCTACGGTAAGATTCAACAAATCACAGGCAAGCTAAACTATCTTAATGAGCACACAGTCCAAATAAAGTCATGCAAGGAGTTATGCAAAACTGACTTATCTCTTGTTCCAGAGCAATCATCAACTGCCTGTTCAAAGCAACTCAAAAAGCTTTTAAACCACTGGAGCAATGCAATGGAGACTTAGGCAGCACCTAATCACAGTCACTCAGTGTGGTGCCAAAGTGGGGTCTGTAAAACAGACTGCCCTCCCACATCAAAGTCAAGGGTAACTTTTTGCCTCAATGCAGCACTTATCTGCCAGTTACAATTTGGTCAAACTTCAAATTGAGAAGTCCAGAGCAGATTTCTAAATAATACTCAGGCTCCTACATATCAGAGCTGACAAAAGTTGATACTAGAAGAACACTATCGAATACCCAGAAGATCTGCTTGGGTCATGGTGACATTTCAGACAATTACCCTGTTAGTCAAAAATAAGTTTATACTACTTGTTCCATCCTCTATTTAGTATCTTAAGTTCAAAGCTGAGTATGCAGGCCTAGGATATAAAATGTTATGGTTTTCTCTGTAAACTAAGCACATTTTATAACATCACTGGAAGAAACTAACTATTAGAGAAGTTAAAACATATTTATATTCAAATGTTTATTCAACTTTTTTGGCATTTACCTAGCAGAGAGTAAATAAATATCCCAGAAAACAAATCAAGTGAGTGATAACCTGAAGTGATCATAAATAAATAAATGTCAGTTTTTAGTCTGAGTGCCAGGCATAACTGTAATTGCTGAGAAAGGCAGTCTAGTTGAACTGCCTGCTGACATGTCCTCCCAGTTTGCAAGACGACACTTATTTTGAAAGCTAACATGTTACTCACTGCCAATTGCAAGAAGTCTGTCCCCCCTCTGTAGATCAGCAGCTGCAGCAGGTGAGTTTGGAGCCACAGTTTCAATGACAACATGTCCTGCATCATCTTCCTTAGACTGCACGAGGCGGAGCGTGAGCCCGACACTTTGCAGATTCCCTTTCACTAGTTCTGCCTAGAGAGAAAGGAGTTAAGAGTATGTCAGTTAAGCTGACTGCAAGGATTCATGGTTACTACTTATCATTTAAATAAAATTAAACAACTGATATTATTAAAAAATTGTATTAGGACATCCATTGACTTAATTAGGCAGATTATCACGTAACAGAGTAACCATCCACCAAGCCAGTTTATCTCTCTGGAGAAAGACGGAACTAAATGTCACCAGTTCTGAAGAGCCACATATGCCAAAACTACAAAGCAGTGCAAGGAATTGTCAGCAAAATAAATATATAAATAAGTGTATGTGTGTACACATCTATTAAATAATTTATATACAATTAATAACAATACTGCGCTAACCTATGCGCACAGAAATCGGCAGGAAAGGCAACATGTGGCTCATCTTCACAAAAAGCCCCAGTCCCAACAAAGCTACAACTAAACACAACCTCATAATTTATCAGGAAGAAGTTTTAATAAAAGAGGCACTGTACCATCAAGCTAGGTATCACTTTCAATATGCTACATTTGTGATATAAAACCCCTTACTACGAGTAGCTCTTCAGCAATCTACACAAAACGGCATTTGGGGTGAGAAAACGATGATGTACTTATACACTGCTGAAGCATATTTGGAATAAATCTGAACTAACAACAGCCAAAGAAGTTGCTTCAAAGACTCAGAACCCTTACCTCTTATTTATCTTGCAAGACAAAAGGAAAAAATTAACTAAATCATCTCAAATACCTTAAAGAAAAAAAATGACTGAGATGCAATCTCTGTATTAGTTTCATACCACAGTCCTGCACGGACCTGTTACCATCTGGAAGAATTGAAGAATATATCTAGATAGTGGTCAATTGTTTACAGACAACAGTGTCTGAGATATTTGGCAACTTTTTTTTCATAAAAAATTAATATCCATAATGAATTTTAAAATGCACTATTTTTCCCCAAAAGCACATTCCTGTTTCAAATTACTGTCTAATATCATTCCACACCAAAGAATTTTCTGTCTATTTGAAAGGGGAACTCAGTCTATATTTCAGCTCCAAGGACAGACATTTAATTTGCTTTTTTGATTCCTAAGAACAGAGAGACAGACATTGTTTGTAGAAAACCTTCACAGGAGATTTTATATTTGGCTTCAATTTACTGAGTTTAGGTAGACACTCTTCTCCATTTACTTTGTTGCTATTCAATTGTCCATGTTTGAATTGTCTGGAATTGATCTTCCTCTTCTGAGGCTCTGTCTGCTTAGTTCTACACAATGGCTTTCCACAGCTGAAGTGTATCACTTGACTCTCTCCTTGGCTGCATGGCTTTCACTCCTCTCCTATAATCTCAACAGCACCCTATCTTTTTTTTTTGCTAATTGTTGCTCAGTTCTTGATAGGAATAAAATGCTTAAGAACAGCACTGAGTTTGAAGAAGGAAACTTGCATTAACTTTCTAAGCTTTGTCATTCATTTTCTGCACTTCCCACAGTCAATTAAAGATAATTTTTTCCTCTAGAACTTCATGAACATCTATTGTGAATACCCAGTTATGTATGTAAGAACAACAAAACCAAATACAAGCAAATAATAAATGCAATTCCAAGATTCAAGGTTCTTATACACAGCAAAAAAGTAAATAGCTGCTTACAGAAACCATGGTGGTAGGTTTTTTTTTAGTTTTTTGTTTTTAATGAAGGTTGTTCCCACATATTTCAAAGAAAATCTCATACATAATTAGATTTTTAAAAAATCAAATACCAAATTCTTAAGTGTTAAAAAACCAGGAAAAAGTATTAGAAATACCTGTGTAAGAAAAAAAACAGAAGTTTTTTTTAAAAAAGAGTTACTCTTCTGCTTTAGTCCTTTATATTTAATATGTCTTTTGGCTAGTAACTCACACATGCTGCAGGTGCTGGATGGAAACAACATGAAAATTACTAGTTCAAACAACACTAGTTGGATATTTTATCCTGAGATGAATTTACTGTGGCAACATACAAACCTGCAACAGAAACTCCTTCCAACAATCACTCCCCAATGCTGTGTAGCTCTGTGTGCTATTATCAAACAACAAGGAGACCATTATTTCTGAGCTTTGTCACAGCACCTAATTACTCAAAGCTCAGTTTTCCTATGAAGGTTCCTTTCTAAGTTTTGCTGTAAAATGATTAAGGTTGGAAAGAGATTTCTAAATCTTTGTGTTTTAATAGGTAATATCATAATGAAGATCAGAGAGTAAAATCCCACTTAAGGACTGCTGACAAATGTGAATATTACAAAGAACAGCAAACTATGACAATTTTTTACACTCATTTTTCTTAGCCCACTGAAGTATTAAGCTCTTCAGTGAAAGAATTTCAGGAAAATGGATGCTTAGACTGAATAGTGGAGAAAAAAAAACAGGATAATTTTCCTCTTACAAGTTAACTCTGGCTGTTTAACTACACTCCTATAGATATACATCTATTTTGATGATCTGTAGTTTCTTCCTGCACAGAACTGGAACTAATTAATAAGACAGGATTTTTTAAATCATGGCTCACCCAAGACACAATCTCTTAGTTTTGAATCACTGCAACAGAAACATTGCTCTAAGTTTGTTTGCAACATGAGTTAGTCTTGTGAACTCAGTATTTGAGTAGATCAGAAAAACATCCCACTACTGAAGGAAGCTGGCCATCAAAATACTTTACCAGGAGTTATTTCATGCAAATCTACTTCCTTTTAAAGGCAGGTATTTTTTTTATCTATTTAAAGAGTGGTAAAAAGAATTGGTAAGATTTCTAAAGATCTGTTCTTCAGAAAGCAACAAGCTCTATTTGACAGTGCCAGGAGGCAAACAGGAGCTGGCACTGCAACATCCGGAGTCCTGAAGCGATGCCCCCTGACCACTGTTAGCAGCTGCAGTCATGGGAAACTGCACCACGAACAGAGATGGAGAAAGGAGTAACTAGACAGTAACAAGGGGAAAAAAAGTTACCCAAAGCTTTCTTACAGTTTGTCAGTAGAGACCCGCATCCTCTTGAGCCTCCTTTGAATCCAAGGACTATTTTGAACAGAACCCAATAGTGGATGACTTAACAATGAAAATATTCTCCACTGTAAAAGACTTGAAACCTCTGGGGTGATTCCCATCATTTCACTCTTCCCTCCTCCCCCAGGGCTAGACCACATGAAAGAAATGAGGGACAGCTGGGACCAAAGACCCTTAGGTGTCTCTGAACATTTGGCTCCCATGCAGGGACAGGACTGTGGATTACAGAGCAGATGACTCACTGATGGCAAGGAGACTTCCAATTTTCTAGCAGTATCTGATGGAAAGCTGTTTTTGGAAGGAGAGTGCCTTTGAACATAACAAGCAAAGTTCATCTCAACTTTTTATTAACTGGCACAGTCACAAGCTTTCTCTCAAAATAAACTGGTTTTATTTATCAACCCAAACCAGATGAATAGTTTCCTTGATTTTTCTCTCTGGAAACTCCAATGTTTCACCAAATGATAATATCACCAGTGTCTCAAGATAGATGCAGTGCAGGTAAACACCATTTCAAGCTCTCAGTCACCTCCTACCACCCCTACAAGTACACTTGCAAAACCAAGCACCTTTGTAAACCCACCACAGCCAATTCATGCCTTTCTGCCTCTCCCTCTAATTAAAACTTGAAGAGCCTAAGACTTACTGGAACATGAAACATCAGAAGGGCAAAAATTAGATAAATGACACAGAGGCTAGAAGACGACTGCTGATATTTATTATCAAGAAACCTTGCTGCAAAGCAGAAAAATCAACAGCTGTGTTTAGGAGAAAGGGAAATTTTAACCAACTAGCTATACCATATTCAAGTAAGTTTATTTTATTTCAATCTAATTAATAGCTCCATTTTATTTTAATTCGATCTAATTAATAGCTCTGTTTTAGTAGTTCCTGCAAAGATTAGTAGTTATTGAAATATGGAGCAAGGCAAAGCAGACAATACCACACCCTTGCTAGTAAAAGGCAGACACACATTCACAGTGATTTATATTGAAAGAGTTAGAGCTAAATTGTGCCATGGAACTTAAAAAATATACCAATATACCTTTTTTAAAAAAAGGTAAGCAATGTCCATACTATTCATCAAATAGTATTGAGAATAAAATGCAAAAGAACAGATATTACTATCTTGACAAAAAAAGAAATTAAAATAATTAATTTCCTAAGTGTTTTATTATACAGGGGAAAAATTCCAAGAAGAGGACAAGATGTCCATTAACTTTAAAACTAATAAAACATTTTGATGTGGGGCTGACTTTTACAGAACAAAGTCGATAAGCATTGATTTCACAGTACAGCCTTTAGTTCATTTATATGCAACATTGTACTAGCCACTGCAAAGCATATCCCTACTACTACCTTATGGTCTGGAAATACCATGTAGTAGAAAATTATGTTGCATTTCTTAGCCTTTCCTTACCTTAGCCTTGTCACTCTGAAAGCCAGGCAAATGGTGGATGTCAGTGAAAATCAATTTTTCCAACCCTTTTTAACATACTGATACTGAACTCCATAGCTATACAGTGATCATTCTGAATTTCTAACTTGCTAATACCATTTAAATGGACAATATTTAGACCAGTGTCAATACAGGATGCAGTTTTAATCTTCAAATGCTTCATGCACTTATCAGTCTGCAAGAATTTGCAAACGTGAAGGGATTCTAAACACACAATCCTTTTACAGGCAACAGACACAAATGTGATAACCTTCTCATTTACTATTTACTTCCAAAACTTCACCTATGAAGTCAGGTTATTTTTTAAAAGAATGTCATCAATAATACTGTAGTCTCACAACTAGAAGGTAAGTTAACACTAGATATAAGAGATTTCTGAGACAAGACATGATAAATAATGTCTTTCAATAAATAATTACAATATCTAGAACAGATATGACAACTTCTTACTAGTAGTGCAACATCGTTCAGCCAAAGTTTTAAAACTATGAGATGCATACAAAAACAAGTCACAAAATCA